TAATATGAGTATCTGCATAAGGCATTGTCGATGAAGGAATATAACGTTTATATGCTCCTGCCACTCTGAAGAAGGTGAAGTGGCTCCTTTCTGGGGGACTTCCCTGACGCAACTGGCTCTCAACAAGCCGCCTCTAAGGCTACAGCCTGGCCTCGTAGGTGGATTCACCGAAGAACACGACCTGCTAGTTGCCTTTCATTTCACTGAACATGTTCCGTCTGCCGGACGAGGAATGGTGCCACACCAATCTTTGTGGCAGATCCCACATTCCCACCACTTTGAAACTAGGATGGAGACAGGCATCCGCCAGCTCGCACGTCTCCAGCTCGAACAGGCTGGCCGCACATTCCAGTTTCTCGCAAGAGAAGATAAAGATGCAGACGTTGAAGCTGCAATGCTGTGGGGAGAAGCGGTATTCTGGCGCGGCATCATCTCAGAGGACAAGAAGGAACTCATGTAGACCTTTGCAATGCCTTACTCTCATGGCGGTGTCTGTTCTGATCTCCTCAACAGAGTACCATCAACTGTCCCACTCTAGTACATGATTCCGGAGAATCAGATCTAGTGTTTTTGTGATATTGTGCCTCAGGCTAAAAATGATGTCCTTCGCTTGGTGGTGGTGCGGTGGTTTCCTCATCCTGCATCTCAAACTGTCCTGGTACCATCTCGTACCAAATAAGTTTCCAACGAGCACCAGTTCGAGTTCAAGAGGCCTGAGAACCTTTTGAACTCTGCACATGAGCTTTTGAGATTGCGCTAGCTAGACGCACCTTGTCATACAAAATACTGTGGCTGGGTGGAAAATCTTTGCCCTTCCCCACGAAGTACCCCTTCTAAGAGCAGATGTGAAATTAGGATTGACATAGGCTTCCTTGATTGCTCTACAAGGGGGATCAAAGCTAATTAGCGGACTCGAGGATCCAGAAAAGCACCATTCCACCCCTTGCTTCTGAGTCCATTGTTGCATCCACAATTGTAACCTCCTACCCACGCCTTTTTGGTATGCTGAACGTGTTCTCAATCTTTACAGGAGGCGGTCAATTTAGCCGACTTGAACATCGAAGTGGTCCAGCCTCATGCATCTCGTGGGATGAGAAGGCTTCTGCCTTTTGGACGGTCAAAGAAGCTTGCAGCCGATCCTGCATGCACACGGGGGCGCATCCTACACTTCCGGGTAACCAGGGCGCATTCACACCTGCTTCAGGCACTCCTTCTTTTCAGACTGGGGACAGCGTCGTCATATGTCACGGGAGCGCTCAAGGTGAGGGCCCAGGATTTCTGCGCATGCACTTGTCCGCACAGATACGACTCTAGGTGCAACTTTATCTTCGATCAGACATGAATGTGTGGAAAGGTGTCTTACATGCGCCACTAGCAACAAATGCACTTATGCCTCTTGAAAAGTGACCTTTGTGCTTGAGAGTGGACCAAAAGCTCAAAAAAGATGCACAGTGGGACAAAGAAGGGCTCGTGAGACGACTCTGTGGCCTCCTGTGCATTTTTCATCTCTTCTTAGCGTTTGTACACGTAAGTCATTCAGCGCTAGCAGCACAGCGGCTTGGATGGCTGCAACTCATGCTAGCTTTTCAATTTATGTCGCCGTTTTGGAGTAAGGTCTTCCCCAACCAGGGTGAGAGCATAGTCAAGAAATCTGTATGCCATAACACAGCATGATGAACTAAGCAGGATTTGAAACACATTAACTCTTACAAAACTCCCACAAAGTATCCTACCATGTGTAGTAGGCCCTCTCGAGCAAGGCACGCCCTATAATGATCGGGGTTCTGAGTCTGCAGCTGAAGTCCTGCTGGAACGCCTACCAGCAGCTATACGAGGAGGATGTAGTTGGGTCCAAAGATGGCAAGGAGCAATCTGGCGCAGAAGCTTTGGCATCTGCAGACAGGGGAGACATCTTATACGGTAGGCCCTCAATCTCAATATGAACCTTCACTCTCTGCAACTGTCATCTTACATTTTTCTGTGACGGTAAGTTGAGCATTCCGTGTTTTTGCGTCGTTATTCATTATTCAATTGCAGGCAAGGCGCAAACGGGCACACCACTGCCGCAGAAGAACTGCGTAGGCCTTGCCTGAGGAGAGAGTCCGAGCCAGACTCTCACACGAAGTTGTCGGTACTTAACTTCACCTTGTCTGGTTTTCGTGCCCGCTTTTGAGATGGAAGAAAGCCAGACTCTGTTTCTCACGGAAGGAATCAACGAAAAGTAGGCCAAACTTCGGTCTTCAAACGGGACGTTCTAAACCGATTCTCAGCCAACCTATGTCCCATCAGATTGTCGAAAGGGCCAGCCCAGACATATCACAGAACTCGGGGGCTTTAGCCAAGGCCTGCGGCATATGATCAGAGCCGTTTTCAGACCACACCCTCAAAATCCAAGACGCCTTCCTCAAATTCATTCTCATCAATTCTGACCACCACACTCCCGCTCGCTCCTCACAGGAATCGGCGGCTTCCACTTCTTCGTCTCGCTGGTTCCCCCAGCCTTCAAGTGGATCGTCGAGTCCCTGGGGTTCAAGGGTGACCAAAGCGCGAGTCAGCCGCAGCTGCGCGAGTGCATTTGCGCGGGGGGAAACAGGGTTTACGCAGCGTACCTTTTGCTAATCTGGCAAGACACGTTCTTCTTCAAGGCGAGGGAGCGAGCAGAGAGGCTGTTCGAGGAAGCGACTGAGAGGTGGGGTCTCGTTCCAAGGCTGGAAGACAATAGATCATTTGGTGATGAGTGATGAATCTCTTCTGGGTTACCATCCTGGAGGGAGGCGGCGCTCGATGCTCGTAGGGGAACGGCGACGGTCAAAAAGAATATTTTGAGGGTCAAATCTTTGCGTTTTCGTGTGCTTCAGCTACAGGGGCCAAATCCAGTAGCAAGCACCTGAAGCCTTTTGGCCACTACAGCTCTCCCGTCACGTACCGGAACACGACAGCGGTGCTGTCCTGAAAAGTGACAAGACATCCAAGGCGTTCGTATTCGTCACTAGATCACACTGGCGGGATCACTTTGGCTCAACCCTAACGACTTGAAGTCCGCTCGACAATGCATTCTGACAGCGAGATTGCGTTCGCAGATTTGAGAGCAAGGGCACGCACTCTGCGCTCTTCCAGTACCTGGGCGGCTATCTCGCCCGAGTCAGGGGAGGCTTGGATCTAGCAATTGAGCGGTTCGAGAGAGCGCACGCAGCCAGCTCAGAGGTTCGTCTCGCAGCACCGTCATTGCTTCAATCTTCAACGGATGTCCTGGTTCTCCTTATCTTTAACTGTGCGCCTTGTCTGTTGACAAGTAATAAGCTTTAAGCTTGCAGCTGACGGTGGAAATGTAGAATCCTGATTGAAAGGTGTCTTACCCTGTCACTTTGGTCCGATGTCCGCCACAGCTCTGACTCAATTGTCAAACAACGCTTTTGATAATGGCCGACGTCTGTGGTGACGTCGTCGGGAGCTGACGTCTCCAGTACGACGTACGTCCTGTATGAGTCCTCTGGGCGGCCTTTGAAGGTCCAAAGTCAGCTCACGACGGACGAAACTCTGTATTTTGTCCGACCGTTCCAGTTGCCCCTTCTCCATGTTTCCAGGCCTGCTTGCCTAAGCTGACGTTTCTCTGATGCTCCTTTCTGGTACGACTTTCGGCTGACGTCATTGGACTCCTGTTCAGGTCCGGCCCTTCCAGCTGATGTGCCTGTACGAGATCGGCTGGTGCCACTTCCTCGTTGGCGACTATTCCCGCGCCGTCGAGCGATTTGTTCCGTTCCTGGCGGAATTCCGGTCGCCCAGCTACCACGCCTTCTGCGCCTACCAGCTCGGCTGCGCGCTCGACCTGCTGGGACGGAGGAAGGAAGCAACGGCGGCCATGACGTCGGTGAGTGACGTTACCGCGGTGACGTCATTCCGGACCTCGTCTGTTGCCATTGCTGCGTTTTGCGGGCCAATTTGTGAGCCGCTTGTCTGTCCTTGAGAGTCGAGCAAGAAGTTTGGAAGTCACGGGACGTGTATAGGTTAGAGGCAAGCTACTTCCTACAACGTAAATACGCACATGGCCAGATTTACTTTGCTTCTAGTTGTAAATAACGACTTTTGGGTAAGGCATACGGACCTGCCAAGCCACCTTTTCGCAAGCACGTTGTTCACCTGGCGTGAGCGCCATAATTCTCTAAGTCCATTCGGAAGTGACGTGGCGGTTGGCTAGCTCGTCTCTCCTACCTTTCTTTGTCGCATGTCTGTACGTTGCCTCAACACGACATATTATTAACCTCAAACCTCTTGAAAGCACCGACGGGCTTCCTCCTCAACCGTTCCTGAGTGGTACCGAAGCAACCACGTCTTCCCCCTCCTCAATGCGCAACATCTGAGAACCTTCTTCTGCGTGCAGGTCGCCGGCTACGTTAGAAAGCACTTCACGTTCGACCAGTACGCTGCCCGGCGCGCGCGATTGTACATCAAGCGGGGCGGCATGAGCGAGTTCGACCGGGCCATCCTCCCCGTTCACAGCAGCATTGAAATAAAGGACTTCCGAGGAGCGCTGAAGCTTCTTCAAATTGCGCGTTGCCACGTGTCCAGTGGAGCCGGTTCGTTCGACGGTTCAGCGGAGCCAGAGTCTGAGAGCGGTGCGAGGATGAACAGTCCGGCGCCAAGCGGAGCGGCGGACTTTGAACGGGACGCGGAAGACGCGCTATGTAGGACTAACGCACGTGTCCTGGACCGGCGAAAAACGCGGACGTATCTGGACACGGAACTTGATTCGAACGCTTCGGCGAAAGACATCCGTTTCACAGAGTTCGCAACCGGGTTGCAAAAACCGGGAGCTTCTATCGGCCACGTGGCTGCAGAAAAAGAGACGACGAGGGGGTGGGTTGAGGGAGTTGACAAGCCCCCCGGAACGGTGCCTATCGTTGACGATGAGAGTGCGGTGTATATGTTTTGCTTGGCTCAGTCGCTGGTGGGCGTCAAACGGGACGACTTGGCATTGGACTGCTACAAGGTAAACATTCATGAAAGAGAAGCAAAGATATAAAATAGAACGATTTAGATCATGAACTGTGTTGTTTGATATTGGCCTAGGTGCTTGTTAAGACGCGTACTCTACAAGGGCTCTCCGGTGGAAGAGGTAGACTTTCAAATCATGTAATTTCAGAGGGTGACGAAAAATAGCCCCACTTCTGATACCAACTCTGGCATGCAGTTAGGGCGTCCCTGCGATTGGAAGCTAGTTCCGCTCAGTGCGCGCCCTCATGAAGTCCGAGCGGAATGTGTTTGGTGTCACTTTTAGCCGCCTTTTCCTTCCGATCTGCACTTGCCGAGAAGCGAATTCTCAAATGGCCGTTGTGGAATAGCTTCTAATCTGTCACGTTGAAGTCTCCGGTTCCATCTGATGACACCAATACTGTCAGCATCAGTAGGAATGACGTAACCAGAACGCTGACAGATCTCGAGGAAGCCCGTCGAGAACCTGACCCAAATGTGCAGTCTGGTGTGGCGTGTCAAACGCTTCTTCTCCCGTGGCATTGTAGTGTGTCACGTGCTTTTTTCTGACACCCCCGAGTCTGTCGTGGTCCTTCTTACGAAGGCCTTCTTACGAAGGAGAAAGAAGCAAGATTGTTCAGAACGATCGTTCAATCGTCATTTAGTGCTCCGGTCCTTGATTGCCGTTCGAATCCCGAAAGTAGCTCTACTTTGTAACTGGGGCGGCCTTCTTCGCAGGCCATTCTTAATGCCCAGAGGGAGATCAGAGAAGAGTTCTACATCGTGCCGTACTCCTGGGTTGGCGTCGGGGAAATCTACCACCGGAAGAGCGACCTCTCTGCAGCCGAGGAAGCTTTACTGGTCGCCAAGAAGCGGTGAGCAGTGCGAAAGGCATTTTGAAGTTTGCCGTTAGATCCACAGAGAAACCGGTCCTTCAAGGTACGGTTCGCATTCAAGCGAGGTGACCAATGAGGGATTGAACAACCGTAGGCTTCTGAAGAGAGATTGCTCATTTCGAAGTTTACAAAGGAATACTGGATTCGGAAGATTCCGCGCCCAAACTGTAGAAGATCGGTGTGCAAGGGCACTTGGCAGGACGCGGATCGTTTAGCGAGCGCTGGTGACGATGTTCACAGGCTGCCTTGAGACGATAGGTTTTTAGTAGAAGCGCGCTCGCTTGTGCCGAGAACGACATCGTCAAGAGCTCCTAAAATCGTCAAGAGCTCTTGGCACCATGTCGTATAAGCATCCGGCAAAACTGGCACCATGTCGCACAAGCATCCGGCAAAACGGGGAATTCGCATGAGTCTAATTGGTGACCTTGTCGACATTACAGGTGCAATCTTGATCGAGCTAGAGCTGAGGGAAGGCACCTTTCCCCATATGACTCTGTTTCGCATCGCTTTTCGATGCTTGATCGAACGTGTTGCCTCCTGCAGGTACTCCGGATACGACTTTGACAAACCTCTGATACGTCGGATAGAGCACGCAGTCGGGCTGTTGAAGGGTGCCAGATCGGAGGAAGCGGAAGTTGATTTATGACTGTCTTTCTCAGCCAGTTGTCAGGACATTGTATTAGGTTCTTCTGACTGCAAGAAGGAACTAGTAGACTGTGTGACCAAAAACGTAGATTATAACTATGTTGTCACTAGTCGAAGAGCACTTAGAGGACAGCAAGCGCGCGTCAAAGTGGAACGAGTCACTGGAACTTGTTGCATGGCTCGGCGGAGATACTGGAGAAACGAAGCTGCCAATATATGGAGAAAGGAAGCTGAAGCTGCCAATATACAGGAAGTCCTCTTACAAAGCTTCAACAATGCGTGCGCTAGGCGGTGACTGGTTCGATCCGGGTTCGATCGGCCATGACCTACGCAGAGCAAATGTGCAAGAGTGCAATTAATCACTTCGAACAAGTTGGGGCGGGTAAACGCTTTCATCTATTCAATTGACTCTGCAGAACCTTCGAACACCTTCAAAGAGGACAACTGCATGCCACTACCACAAGAGCTTGTCGAAAGTTCACGCGATGGATAAACTCGGAAGGAGCTGCAATTAAAACGATTGACGAGATCCGTATGGTGTGAACCCTCACCGTGTTTTGGACATCGGGATCTGTCCCTCCTCGCGGCTCATGAGCAGCCACGGTCATTTACAGGACAATATAGGGCATCCTTCTCTCTCTGAAAAAGTAACTGGATTTGACCGTCTTTTCACATCCCTTCTCACACAGTCAAAGAAAGTTGGGTTGCGAGCCTTGAGACTGCTAACGTACGTTTCCCCTCTGATTTATCACCTCATCTTCCTTGCTCTCGAGTCCCAATATTCACCGTTCACGTTCATCCCCCGTTCATCATTCTTCGTGATGATAAGTCCAAGACCAAGACGGTAAGCCGAGGGAAATCTCGTGCCAACAAATCGAGGTCGAATCACTTGTGGAGAACTATTTCAAGTTTGCGAACGGTCGATATCTAGGTAGCTCATCAAGCTCACTGATCGATCGATACTTAAAGCTGACTGCCAGCAACCGTCTGCTGCTTCATACCGGGTAGTCCCGAACTTCGTCAGTGAGGCACGTGACGTACGTGCGTACGACGGAGGAGTACGTATGCCAGCCGCGCGCGGGGCGCGCCTCCCTACCTACATTGTGAATCGTAATTGGCGCATGAGCCCCTACCGGCTTGGATATTTACTCGCACCCAAATACGGTAGGTAGTTAGTGATTCAGCATTGACGTCACTAGTTTGAATGGACGTTTCAAATGCACCTCCAGATGGCAACTTTGGGGGCGGCAAGTGCATGGCTGGGCGCCAGAGTAGTAGGAGCTTCTCGAAACGGTTCTTACTACGACACTTTTGTGCAAGAACTTGGATTGACAGACTCCTGACGGCATCTACCCGAGTCAGGCACTCAGTTTAAAAGTCGGCTCGATTCTTTAGGGACAGAGAGTAAGAACTTCTGAAAGCCGAAAAGGTGAGCGTGTCGGTCGCGGCGGAACTCAACCGAGAGCGGGACTCGTATCTGGAATGAGCTCTTCTCTGATCCTGATCGCCGACCCTCCTGATGAGCTTGCTTCGATTCATAGCCTTGAACAATAGCTTTTCACAAACTGGATTCAAAAGCATTGCAGCGTCGAGCGTACTGTTTCATTTAGTACACGATTTATGTCAAAACCAACTTGGCTTCTCTATAGCTACCAAATATTCCGCCGCTCCGTTAGGACGTCGGTGAGCAGTAAAACTCTGGCGCCTCGAGAGAAAATGTTGCCTGCCGTCGACGCCCTGACAGTCAGGTGCCATTATGCCCGACAAGACGAATCAAGCCTGTGAAATTCGTATTTTCCCTGTTCCCAAACAAAACTCACCATCCAAGGGTACTGGCGATATATTCGTCTCAATCATAAGCCGGCCGAACGTGTCTCGCGGCTGATACGTTTGCAGAAACGGAAAGGTGAAGCCCGGAAAAGCGGAACGGACCGTCCCGTTGAAGAGGTGATTGTCGACGTAGCTCGGCCGTTCATGTCTTTCGCCAAAGATTCTGATTCCAGCGCCTAGATGGTGGCTGCAATTGCATCATAAGTGCTTGCGAAGAGGTTTCAATATTGTGGCCTTTGCAGCTGCCTTGTGTACCAGAGGAGAATGGCCCTGCATCGAGCAAGTGGCAAAAGCGAGATTGTTTGCAAAGCGCAGAGCAACAGAATGAGCTCAGTACGTAGTGGAAAATTCGCTTTTGACATGACTACTGACGTCAGAATATTCCGTACTGGAGATTTCAAACTGAATTATCGTGCCAAGTGGACCCTTGGAGAGCCGTCGGAGCAATCGAGGAGGGGCCACGAACGGTGCTTGCGCGTGCTGTTGATGTTGTCAACTGTCACTAGTCACAGTCAAACTCGAAAGTCACTGAAAGCACTGATTGAGCTGACTCGGATTTGTCTTGTCGAGTCTTTCACGGGACTCTGATTTGGAGCGGAAATAGCGGGATAAGACGGCTTTTGTCGCTGTCCTCCGTGGCATGTCTACGTGCTAGCTCTGACGCATGCGGATGCCACTTGTCCCTCGACGTCAGCCGCCAGCACCTCCTTTCTCAAAGATATCTTTTCTAGCTTACCGAGCTACTGCCATTTGGCAAACAAGAGACGTGACGTCAGAAATTACGCAACAGTCCTACTGTAAAACACAACTCGTACGTAGTAGTAGGTAGTACATAGTTTCAGTATCAGCGTATCTGGCCGCCTCGCCGTGACTTCAAGAGGCGGGTATAAAACCCATCTGATTCCAGCAACTCGAAGTATACGACAACAACCAAGTTTTGTGTCCCCTCTTCGCGCTCCCAAAGCCCCTTCGCAACCAACGTCTGCCTCTTCCGAGAAGCGCTCACCCTCTCGGCTTATCCTTCGCGTATTATTCGAAGCGCCTCTCACGATGGCATCACTGCAGGGTAGCTCTCATGCAACAATCTGGACAGCGGTGCTGATTCTCCTCTTCTGTGGCGAAAGCGGTGTCGCAAGTAAGTTTCCACCTTCTTCTTCTTGATGTGACAGATCGAAGTCTTTGTTCCATTACAGTCTCGAGCGGCTTTCTCTGAGAGGACTTGGCTATTTGCCGCTTACAAGTTGGCTGGCACTTCTTCAAATGTTTTGGGATCCAGTGCGAGACGAAAGGGTTCGTGACTATCTGAAGCATTCTGCATTTGATTCTGATGAATGCATTGAGAATTTTATCTACTCAAAACCTGACATTCTGGTTCCAAATGTACCCGGTAGCGCGGTTTACTTAATCAAAGCTTCAATTAGGAGTCCCTGCGTCTTCTCTTTATCTCCGTTCCTGCTGGAGGTTGAAGAAACGAGTTGTTTTGCAGCCTTACGTTGAGAAACCTTTCATTCAATTTGAGTTATGAAGCGTTGTCGCGGGCCTCCTGCTGCCTTCTCATTTGTCTGCTCGGTCGTGCAACTATTACGCTTCACGTTGAATCTACTTCGCATTCTTCGATGGCGTCTCAGTTAGAAAACAATCTCTCATTGGTCACATCAGCTCAAAAATGCATTTGGGATGACTCTACCAGGGAGATTCCTGGAGGCTTCTGGAGTCTTCCTGTACTAGACGAAGGCATGCAGGCACTCTCTAGATATAGACTATTCAAGCACTCTTCAGAACTTTGCTTCTGTCCGCTATCCTTCCCGCTTATGCGACCTCTAATCCATTCTCTTTTCCTGCTTTCACAGGTGCTAGCCCGGTCATCCTCTCTCGTCGCATGCTCCAACTCACATGCACCCCGAAACTCGTCGACTGCTCCGTGACGTCATGCGCGAACCCCTTGGCACTAACCGGGGCCCAGTTTGCCCTTCTGTGCGCGGTTCCTGGTATCCAGGGCGCTGGTCTTTATGGAACGTTGAACGGTTTCGGTTTCAACACTGACGGGCAGAACACGAACCTGTACAAGCAGGCGTTCCTCACTGCTGAGGGCCTCTCTTTTTACGTCACCCTGAGCGGCACGCGCCGTCATTACGCGCATGTTCAGAGAGTGTTTTTCCTTCCTCAGTTGTTTTTAAACGAGCGTAGAAAAAGCGTCGAAATAGTGCTGCTATTGTGGGCGGAGTCGGGCCGGTTTGTTTTTACTTGCAGATCCCTCCGTCGTTGCGTTCTTCCGTTTTCTCGTTGATTCCGCACGGAAATTCGGAGAACTACCGAGCAATTGAAAACCGAAAGCAACCAGAATATGTAGGAGGTCCCTTGAAATCTGCTTTGAAATTAGCTGCAAATCTCAAATCAAATCAGTTGACGTAGGCAATGATGTCACATGAAGTCGGTAACTGCACCCAATTTCTTCGGCATCCTGATTGGAAAAGGGAGACGAGGAAGCCCTGAACGTCCCACAAATCAGTTGGGGTCATTCCAACTGCAAACTCAAACCCACAGACTCTTCCAATCGTCTTCTTTGCCCGCCACGCCTGCATTGTTGTCCCCCGAAATCAAAGAAGAATCGTCTACGTCAGGTTCACGCTTTAGGTTAGCACCAAATACGCTCGAAGATAATGCGATAAAATCTGCGTATTTATGATCGAAGCCTGCGCATTCTCACCCACGCATACTGCCACGTGTCTCTGCAGGCCCACTGCGCGGAGCTCGTCGCCAAAATCAGAGCTTCAGATTTGGTCAGCCTGCCTGCCTGCGTCAACCCTGACGGCGTCGTCTACATCCTCCTCGGCCTGAAGCTTGCGCTGCAAGGAGCTGTGCCGCAAGTGGCACTTCTTGAGGTCTTGGTCGAGAAAACCGCCCAGAACGTCGCCCCGTAGGAACTTCTCGTGACGAATCATATGCTCGAGCTTGTGTTGAGACAAAGAACCTTGCAGAGTGATTGTGTTTGTATCTAGCTTGCCAGTTTTGTGTACAGAGGCGCGCCGGCATTAGCGAGCGTGTACAAAGCCGGAACGAGCGAGCGCGTAGGATGAGCGTGGATTTGAACTATGTAGAAAGTGGTGAGAACAAGATGGTTTTGTGTTCGTGGTTACGTCGTGACTATGTTTGGTTGAGGGGAATTCTTCGAAACGAAGAGTGTAACATAGACGGTGTGTTGTGGCGCGTGCATCTGCCCGCAATATAGGTGTACCTTGCATCACAGAGTATAAAAGTTTTATACTGCTTGGACCATTCAGCTGTACCTAAACGATGTATTTGTACATGTTTTGTCCATCAAGCGAGTTTGATCCCGCTTCGTAAATGCTACCCTCCTCAAAATGCTGATCAATCACCGAGTTGCGCCATTGCAAACCTGTGGCCGGCTCGCACGCCTTCATTTGAATGTTGATCTTTCAAAAAAGAACATGTTGAATATGCACATCGAGGGGATGGTTGTCAAGTAAGCATGCAAGAAAGATTAACAGCTACAAATTTGTTTTTGATAGGTGCAGAACGATTTCAATTCAACCTGATAAAATGTAAACGCAATATATTCACGAAATGTCACGTCGTGCGCTCGTTGGGTTACTATATACGCCTCGAGTCATGCACAACAATTACTTTCTCCACATCCGTACCCGGGCTCTTTTATCAACCCCATCCGTCGACCAATACTTTAACTTAGCTTACAATACAGAATTGAATCAACCTTACTGGATTCGGACCAGACGTGTGCGTAATCTGCTTGCGCGGTTGCGCAAATAAAACCCGCCGGGGCGCAGGCAATCTGAGACCGTCCAACGTACAATTTGCGGCCTGCCCATGAGTTCTCGAATATTATAATATACACATCGTGATATTGGCATGTTTCACAAAGACGTTAAGTACTTCTGTTTTTGTCACGACGTCTACAGCTGTCATGCAGGCCTACGTTCTCTGGCACGCTGGCATAGCACCCATGCACTGCGGCATAACCTTGAATTTTAACAAAATTGCGACAAACGTCGTACCGTTCCAACCGTGGCTCGCACGCACCCAATCGGGCATATGCAATAATTGTTTCTCTCTTAATAATAATATTCCGGCTGCATGGTCCATAACTATACAAGTATGACGACCGTCCATCCGACACGTCCGGTTGCAGTGGCCCGTGTTCAACGTGATACTAATACGAAAAACAGTATTTTATGAGTGCTGCAGAAAAGACGCCGCCAATCCCGAGTATAAAGCCAAGTATGCTCGCGCGGAAGATCAGACTTGAGCCGGGGCCGTAGTGACATTCCCCAAAGCATGCGTAGAGGTGTGACAACACGAGTCTGAGCCTGATTAACGATCAAAAGGCCTATAATTGTAGAACCGGAAGATCTCTGATTGATTGAGCCGCCGCACTAATCGTCACATTTTAGCCGACTCCACCTTACAACCAGATTTTGCACAGTAACCTATCTACGGGTCGCGTGTGTCCCCGGTCTACTAACGGCTAGCTAAAGACTTGAAACCGGCACGATACCACTTTCTTCTTCCGCACTGCGATTTGCTAAAGAAGCTTCAACTCAACCTACCAAAGCGTTCCCTACTCTTGTCGACAATTTAAACGTGCTTCGTTTTGTTCCAACAAAACGCAGATCCTTGAATGTCCGAAAAGTTAGCCAAAGACATTGGTCGTTCAGAAGCTAGAAAAAGTCGGCGATCCACGCCTTGCCACCCAAACACTTTAACGACACCTGCACCAACACGCTAACCCTCTAACTCCCGGCAAACACACAGTGTACCGTCATAACCGGTTCGCAGCTCCAGTAAAGGTTTTCGAACAGTCATTCAAAACTCCCCTCCGAGCAGTCAAAGTAACGGCTTCCGAGCTGTCAGCAAACCTCAAAGTTAGGCTACCAAAACTTGGGCCCCGAACCCGTCTTAGTCCCTTGGGCTGGCCGCGTTGCTCCCCGACTTCTTCGCTTTCTTCTTGTCCCGTTTCGCCTTGTTCTTGGCGGTCTTGTCTGCATTCCAAACCTTGCCCTCCACGTAAGACCTCTGCACATTAAATGACGGACATGTCGCAGACTTCTCTAGACTAGTTATAACAAGCTCAAGTTATAATTGGACGAACTACTACTAAAAACCTGAACCCAGATTCAACTGCTCCAACCCGTGTTCGACCAAAACCCCATCACTAACCGCACCCGTCCCAGGCACGTTAACTTCTTCTAAGGTTGAGCTATTTATTACCATTTTAGAGTCCAACACACGTCAGCGGCCTTTCCTCCGGCCACAATTCTTCACGACAGAACATATCAACTGCTTCATGTTCGGATTTTGAGAACCTTTTCGTCGTCTTAGCTTGTGAAGCAGGAAGGTGTGAATGCGCTAAAGTGTGACTGCCCCAGAGCGTCATCATAACTGCGTTGAGTTTCAGGAATGCCACAGCACGAACATGCTGGAGTGCGAACGCGCTGAACGCGAGATGCGCCAAAAGTGTGAACGGGCTCAGGCGACGAGCCAAAGGAGCGTATGCACTTAAAAGTGAGACAGCACTGCCGGCCAATGAAACAAATGTGTGAATGCGCACCTGATTGGGAGAGGCGGCCGGGGTAGTCGCGGGAGTCGTGGCGGGAGTGGATGCAACTGAACCGTTTTCGGCGTCTGGCTCGTCAACACTGCGAAGGAGACAGAATAATCGTACACTCTTGTCAAGACAGGCTGACGCAAACCCAAACGTCGAGACCTGACACTCTCCACAGCCCTACCCACCCAAACTTCTCTAAAGAGTGACAAGCTTCAGAGTAGCTTTGCTAAGCCGCAAAACGGGAGAATGCGGAGCAGAAGAAGGAGGAAGCTAACGAGTTGTCTTTCCGCCCTTTGCTGGGCGCCTGCCCGATTAAAGATCGTTGGAAAGGCAATCACGTCCGCACAACTGCGTCAGAACCAGCGTACGAAGAGCGTGCTAAGCAAAGCACGAGCAGCAGCCATGCGAGAGCGACGAGAAAGTTGCCACGTTACGATCAATTGCACAAGGTTGTCGAAGACCGCGCGCGAAGATAACAAACAGGCCCTATGAAGGCGTATGAAAAGCCACCTGTAATTACGGTGCCTAAGCCTTGACAGCGAGGGGTCAGAAACTACTGTTATGCACGTGGAAATCGGTGACTCCAAGTGGCGAGATTCCATCCCGCTTACGGGAGATTGCTTTCAAAGACTCTTTCAAGCACTGGCGAAGTCTATACATGTCCTCAAAAGGGCTGAAGCGCAGCTTTATTCCTCCAAGCAGCGCTGCTCCCGACTGGATGAGTCACGAAGCAGAGCGCAACCTGGTCTTGCTGAACCCTTTCTCGCAACTTCCGCTTACCTTCCTGGGATGCTGATTGGGAGACTCAATGCAGCTTTGCCTGGCGTGGAGCTTCTCGTGACAGACGAGGCTTCGCCGTTTGAGGCAAGAGTGGCCTGCGTGCACCAGATAACGAGAGCATCATTCAAAGCACTTTCGTACGAATAGAGCAGCAGAAAGCGACGAGATTCAGCGAGAGGCAAACTGCACGAAGCTCGTCATGACTGCCCGGAGCCTGAATGTTAGAGAAAAGCTTGCAGTGCTTCTGTCGACCAAGAAGCGGAATTGACCTCTGTAACCGGAGGTTACGTCCAGAACCCCACCACAGAGAAAACACGCGAATAGCAGGTCACCAAGGCGCCAACAGAAGAAAGAGCCTCGGTAAGAGCCTCGCCAACTTTATGGAGACACCAAAAATCACACTGGAGGTAAACAAAGAACTTGGATAATGGGCTCTTACCTGGTCCGTCGATTTGGCCTTCAACGTGTCTGTGTCCGCGACCCCTGCCGAATCTTTGCTTGGGAGCGCTTCCCCGTCCTTGACCATCGCACTCTTTCCACCATCTCCGCTTCCCAACTTCGCCCCCTCTAGGTTTCCGCTAACCCCCTCGGTCACCTCACCAAACCCTTTCTTTGCCGCGGGCACAAACGCCGGAGCGGCGGGGCTCAGCGGTTTCGAGGGCTTCGCCTGTGCGACCTCGAACCCAACCTGCGTCCGCTGCGCGTCTCCAGCTGTCGCCCTCTGAGCGTCGCCAGGTGTCGGCGAGCTAGCTACCGACCCGCTCCGACTGTTTGAAGGCGACGGTGACGTCGCTAGTTTGGGCAACTTTGCAACGAACCCAAACCGGGAGCTATCATTGGGGGAAGACGTGGCTGGAGGGGGCTTCGACGACGCGGGCTTTGCCATATCAGCATAGCTGCCGGAGGTAACAGAGGTCTTGCGCTCGGCGGTTGCCGGTGGAGGGGGGATTGAAGATTTGCTGACAGTCTGGGGCTGCTTCGGGGGCGACTTTGCGAGGGCCACAAAGCTGGGCTTTGGTGCACTGGGAGCGGCTTTTGGGGGGGACTTGGCGAGGTCCGCAAAGCTGGGCTTTGCCGCCGGCGGGGCACTGCCAGCTGGCGCAGCGGGAGCAGCTTTCGGGGGGGACTTGGCGAGGTCAGCAAAACTCGGCTTTGCGGCCGGGGGCGCGCTGACAGCTGGCGCGACGGAAGCAGCTTTTGGGGGGGACTTGGCAAGGTCAGCAAAGCTGGGCTTCGCTGCGGGGGGCGCGCTGACAGCTGGCACAATGGGAGCAGCTTTTGGGGGAGACTTGGCAATATCAGCAGGGCTGGCCTTTTCAGTCGGGGGGGTGACAGCTGGCGCGACGGGAGCAGCTTTTGGGGGAGACTTGACGATGTCAGCAGAGCTGGGCTTTTCAGCCGGGGGTATGACAGCTGGCGCGACGGGAGCAGCTTTTGGGGGGGACTTGGCGAGGTCTGCTGGCTTGGCGGGGGGGGTTTTAGCGGGAGCATCGTTCTTCTGGAGAGAACCCGAGGCTGCGGGTTTCTTGGGGGCCTCAACGGCGGCTGGAGCCTTTGCAGGTTCAGCCTTCGGTGATTCCTGAGGTTTGCTGGCTGCCGTCTCCGGGGTCTTGCCCCCTGGCGCCTCAAGAGATTTGCCAGCTGGCGCCGCAGGGGCGCCCGCAACCGGAGCGGAGGGTTTCTTCTCAGGAGCGGACCCATTTGCTATCTCAGCCTTTGCTGAAACCTCCGCAGATTTGACAGCCGGCGTGGGGGCCACAGTTGCTGGCGTCTTCTCTGCAGCCGCAGGCTCGTTCTTAGGACCAGCCACTGAGCTCTTCGGCATGTCGGCCGCAACTTTGCCTGCGACACCTGTCGCGTTTCTACTGGCTACTGGGCTCGCTGCTGGGGCAGTGGGCTTTCTCTCGAATGGAGTGCTCGCTACCTTCCGTGGCTCCTCAGGTTTGGCAACCGAGTTCTGGGCGGGAGGTGAAACCGGTTTCCCGGCGGCCGCCGCAACAGGGGCAGTTTCCGCCACCTTTTCCGCGATCTCCATCGACGGAGTCCTTGCAAAGCCGGGAACCTTCTTCTCGACCAACGCAGCCATGCCCAGAGACTTGGCGCCGTTTTCGGCCCCTGAGCTTTTGGTTCTGGTGGGGGGGCTGTTGTCGGGCGTGAGTGTCATGTCCTCATATTGCCTCCGCGAGATCGGGGGGCTGCCCGGGAGCCCCGTCTTTGCCCCCTGCTCTGAATTTCCCACAGTTTTCGCAGCCAGAGGGGAAGTCGTCTGCCCACTGCTCCCTGGGATCGCTTTCGCCTCCACGGAAAGTGCGGCACTTTCCTTCTTGGCTCCTTTGCCGCTCCCTTCCAAAGCCGCTGACTCTGTAGACCCCAAGGCCTTCCCGTTTTCAACAGCTTGTGCTGCGCTCCCAACCTGCGGCGACTCAGGGTTTCCCCCTTGTTTCTTTGCGGGCTGCTCGACTGCTGCTTTCTGAGGACTGGCCGAACCATTCTCAGCGGTGCTTACAGCGCTCTTGAGCCCAGGACCTGCAGCGATAGGCGCAGCTTTTGTATCTCCTCCCAGCTTCTTCACTGGCCTGCTGTCTTGCTCCGCAACCGGAGGAGCCCCCTTAGCGGAGGCCAAAGCCATACCCTGCGATGCCTGCTCTGATTGGCTCCCAGAGACAGCTCTTGTCCCCAACTGCTTCGTCCCAGGCTTGCTGACATCAGCCGCTATCCTGTCCGAACCCACATTGGAACTCGCGCTCTCTGCCGTCACCTGCACGTCTCCATCCGCTCCCCCATTTGACGGGTCCTTTGCAGAAGCAGGGCCAGTCTCCCACTCCTTGAATGAGGCCGACGCAACGTTCTCCGCTTCGCCATCCTTGTCGCCCTGGCTGCTTTTCTTGGCGGGCGATTGCTGCGACAACACGAAAGCGGCGATGCCCGCCGCTGCCGTGGCGGCCACCGCCAAAAGAACCTTTGCCATTTCAGCTGCAAATACTGATCGCCCGCAGAGCGCCCGAGCTCCACCCTGAGAGAAAGGGTGGAAGGGGCAATCACTCCTGCCGCGCTCACTACCGACGCCGTACCTACTCACAAACAAAGAAACCATCTGCCTGCTGTCACAACTGAGCTTTTTCTTCAAACTTCTCGCTCATTGCCCCAAGCCTAACTAGGTTGAGGGCACGAGTGGTACGGTAACAGACGCCGATTGCGTACAAGATCGACGGTGAGAGATGATCTGCTACACCTGCATTGGTGATCGAACCGTAAAACATTTCCTCCGAAACGTACGTGCGCGCGCCAACAATCGGTTGGCAGATGCATTCATTGAGGCCATTATCCTATCATATGTTACTGTAGTGATGTCATGGTCATCTTTTCATACAGACCAGCATGGGCACTGGTGCTGGCGACACGGGCTCGCTTAATGGGGCAGTGAGTCGGATTGAGAATTCATTGTCGATGAGATGACGGCTTGCAGCCGCTTTCGGCCTTGTCTTAAGGCTGTGATTTTGGGTCGGGCCATACTAGGCCATTGGTGGCCCGCAGTCCTCGAATTGCTTGTAGGCGCGTGAGCACACGGTTGAACAGGTTGTATTGATGACTGTTGGTCTGACTTCGATCACCATCTCTCCTCGATATTTTATAGCACCGAGTTACCCAAATTGATTGCATGCAGGCCCGCCGAGCTTCAAGCAATTACTCAAGCCTAAATAATAATTCCTCATCATGAAATCTGTTGACAAGATTGCATTGACAGCAACATGGAGATTCCTGCAGTTCCTGGTGTAATTGCATGAGGTCAATCTAGCTTGGGCTTGCAACATATTGCAACCGTCTTGACACGTCAGAACGTCAAAAAAACCTGATTCACACATGCTAGCTGTTGAAGCACTTGATATATTGGCGATGCAAGGCGTTAAGGACGAATCTTTTCGAACGCCTTTATTCGGACGCTAAAACTAGTGTTTTATGTTCATTGGATCCTTGACTTAACAAGTATTTCTAAGAGCTACAGTTTCGAGAACATCAGCAATATGTGCACAAGGACAGGAATCCATTTTTTCGGACAAATGCTATTAAGACCTCGACTCGTTTTCTAATGCATAACTCATGTACTGCACTTCTTGGCCGCCGCGACTAGCTGCGCAGTTTTACCCTAACAAGCTAACTCAATCATCTAGTCCTGGGAACGAGCATCGCCCCGACAATTTAGGAAGAATGCCTTAAAATGTGAAAGCCGACAGGTTCGCTCGACGACCTGCAACACCAGAAGCTGCTCTTGCCTCATCGCCCTCCGCTTCGTCAGACTCTGCTTCCGAAACCACAAAAACGGTCAAGCTAGACAATCCCCTCTCCTGCCTCCGGCTCTTCAGTCTCAACAGCTTTTGCATGCCCCCTTCTCTCATCTTTGACAACAGATACTCAGGGCCAGACGATGCCGTGAGCGACCCGTTACCATTCCCAACGAGCGCGCTTGCCTCTGAAAACCTCAACACGCGTGCAAGTCCATTGAGCGCACCAGAACCCTCTCTAGACTCCTTGGTGACGTCACTGGCGTCTTCAAACCGCACGCCCCTGACGTCGGCCCGATCTGCCACAAGATTCTCAGCGGACTGCCTCGCCCAGTCGCGGATCCTGGCCTCCTGCCAATAGGTCTCTTCACGGTCCGACGTGCCACGTGTCACCACCTCGTCCAGAATGTCCGCTCCGTTCTCCCCGCCCTTCCGCTCTCTTGCGCGGCGCTCCGATCGAACGTCCAATTCGGCGCGTTTTCGAACGCCGCCCCGCCGATGCTCTACTCTCCCTTCAGAACGCATCGTCATGTGTTTACTTTCACCGTTTGCGTGCTCTTCCCCGCGTGAAACCCTTCGCTTCAGCCCCCCCCGGTGCAAGGCACGGGTCCCGTTTTTCGCACCGCCGTTCTGCTCGCGCGCGGGAGGTGGTGACGTGGCCGCCTTCGCCGCTCCCCGTCCCCTTCTAACGTGGGCGCTTTTCGGGTACCGTATTCCGTTTGGCTGTCCTTCCGCCCTTGACTGATCCGGCCACACTTCCGCCCTTGACTGATCCGGCCACACCCCATTGAGCTCCCGCGACCTTACATTCGGCGACAGGTGTCGCTTCCCGCCTCGTTGCTTGCCCTTCGCTAACCCTCGCGCCCGAACCGTTTGCCCCATTTTTTCGGCGACCGCTGTCCGCTCTCTCGCCCGCGCCCAGAGGCGCCACCGAGCCCTCAATTCCACGAAAACCGCCCACCACTGATACCCGGTTTGCGCGGTTATCGCCAGCAACTGGAATACGAGCATGGCCGTTCCGAAAGCCCTCACGCTTCCCTCAGACACGGTCCCGTCTTGGGAAGCCTTAAGCTCCGCCCGTCCAGACTGCAGCGCCAGGCACAGCGTGAGAAGCTCTAGCAGGGCCGTCAAAATCTCAACGCCCTGAACGGCCCTGCTGACGTAAGGCTTGCCCACGACAAGCCACGTGGCGTAAGCCGCTGACGTCATCAGGAGCGCCCACACCTGGGCGAGGCTCGGAGCGGCCCCGGCGGCGCGGCGCCCTGCCGCGCCCAAGAGCGCGCCGAAAAGGAGCCGCTTGGTGAGCACGGCTGCCACGTGGCAGGTCCGCAGCATGCGAATGAGGACGCGGGCCGCGCCGACGAAACTGGCGGGGGATCCCTCGGAAACTTCCTGTGGGTTTTGCAGAGGTACTACCAGCACGTTGAATGAAGACTCGCCGTCCCGTTCCGCGTTTCTGCGTGCGCTTTCTATCCGATGTCCTACTGAGTCCCGGAGTCTATTATGAATGGTTGCAGAGGTTTTTTCTCGGGCTCTGCCTAGAACGAAGAGCCTAGCGTCCGACGGCGGGCGGAGCGCCTCAAAGAGCAGTCCAAAGCGTCCGACGAAGCGAGATCGCGGACGGGTGTCGTCATCCGCCACGTAGTTTACCCATCTCCCGGGGCACGCACGGCCGACGAGCACCGCGGCCGCGCGCGCTTTCCAGGTGCGCTTCGCAGGCGGCTTCCATTCCTCTTCGAACCGGGATTCGGAATCCTGTGATAGGAAAAAATCGTTTCCCATTGAACAAGCATTTCCCTGTATCTTCGTTGTAAAAAAAAAGAAACGCAATCCGCATATAGAATCAACTTTCCAAGGTGCGAAGAACACAAAGAATAGATTAATGAACTGCATCACGACATTTCGCATCCACGAAGTTTCAGGCGCACAGACTTCGATCAGAACAGCACGGGCAGGGTGACATGATTGCCCAAGTGAATCCAAAACAGCACGGAAAAGGTGCAATAATCGCCCACAGCAACAAGCAACCTTGCTATGTGTGGTGAGCTCTTTCTACGGCTGCGATTTTGCAGACACGGAAGCCAGTTTGAGCAGCAAATAATAGACGTTGACGAGAACCAAACTTAGATATGAAGCGGTGACGCTACTTTAGAAGATCCGATCGAGCGAATGTATCAGAAGCTCAAGGAAAAAATGGGGCATTTGCCCATGAGCGCAGATCCATCACAACGACAGAGACGCTGCAGTTTAGGGAAGAGAGTTCGCAAACGATAAGGGAACCATGATTCGCTTACCAGGATAAGGGAGGAGGTGAGAAACGCTAGCAGAGCCAGAATTAGCGAAAAGGGGAGGAGGACGAGCAGAAGCGCGCCGGCGAAGACCTGGCCCGGAGATCCTCCTGAAAAGCAAAGGTAAAGTTGGAGTTTGAGTGCTAAAGACAAACTTTGCGTCCGCAGTGCATTGAAGATTGTGCTGGAAGGTTGCGTCTGCGAAGTCAACGAGCAACGGGAAAAGTCACGTTAATGCTTTGGGAGCGGCTGGACTGACGTACGGCTCGAGGTTCTCCATGTCATTTGACCTCAGTGGAACTCTTTCTGGCTATTGGCGGATCCAGCTAGATGTAGGGGTCGCGTCCAGCAGGGACTTTTGAGCTTTCCTTGAAAAGCATACTAAAAAGCATAACGAGCCAAGACTGTCACTTTCAGGCGTCGTCCGAACGACTGTGAAAGTTTTCATCTTCGACCCGCCTGCTTGAATGCCCCAAAAGCAGTTAGAACCTTTTGCGATATCTAGCACAACCGGGATTCAACTGAAATGCGGACACCGTACTTGTCCGTGTTCCGAGCTTAAAGGGGCTTCAAGGAGAAGAAGAGGTTCCAAGTTGGTCAATGCCGGAAAACCCACCTCTAACTAGCGCTGCGCAAGCCTGCGTCAAACCGTAGAAGCAGACCAGGCCGGCGAAGAGCTCCAGCCTTGGAAACAGAAGGTTCGGGAGGAGACGCCGTTTTAGGAGGCGCGTGAACGCGAAGTCTAGTACCAGTCGCAGAATGGAGGCCACCGATAGAGTGACGGCGACAAGCATTAAGATGAGCCCGGAAGGCCCCCAGCTGCAGGAGAACGATGGGATTGAGCTAAAGTCAATGGGTGTTTTGGGCGACCTGCATGGTCGGACATGTGCCAATTTGTCGCCAGCTAGCTAAAGGGAGTGCACCCAAAACACAGAGACGGCGATGGGGCAAAGAGAAGGTTGGATGGCCTCCAGGTGTAGCAATGTGCACAAATCCCGGCGTCAAAGGGTAGGAACTCGGAAGTTATGAGAGTTTGAGAGACGCAATAGGCTGGCTTGCACATCGGCTACAAAGGTGTCCGCTGCCCGACTTTTGAGTGGCGTGAACGTCACGGTCGTTCGGATTCCAAAGCTTTCAAGGGAATGATTGATCAGGCGGATTGAACTTAAGAATTTAAACTCAAGTAGTACTCAAGATTTGGAGGAGCTAAACGGTAACTGAAATTACTCGTACAAAGCTTGTATCATAGACATAGGTCACTGTTACCGTTTCTCGTGTGCTCTTACAAATTGCAACATTGTGACTTAGGAACGCCACAGCTGACAGATTGTGGACGATAATTGAAACGAAAGAACGCTGGGCTTCTTACCCTCCAGGTTCCAGCCCGCTTGGCGACGCCGCCCTTGTTCCGCTTTCGTCAAGTTGCAAGAGACGCCTCCTCTGGCCCGGAACGCTTTGCTTCACTGACGGGGCGCTAGCAGCAATCGCCGCGGAAGTGCTTTCAAAATTCTGCGGGGAGCGTGATGGGATGTCATGGATTTAGTAAGGATCGCCTCAAAGGAGCGTGGATCCAACGTATTGGCAGCGTAGGCTTCATGGAGGTGCGTGCTTTACATTCCTCAGAATACTCTGCAGCGCGCCATCTAGGCGTAGGGATTACAGAACATAGAATGATATTCTTGCCTGTGTACAAGCCGCTGCAGAGCATATGCGCTCTAAAAAAGTCGTTTGCATTTGTTGCAACCAATTACTTTCAATCGACTTAGATTTTTGCCGTGGAGGTCCACGAAAAGATGCAACCCAGCTAGTCTCGCGCGACCAGGCAGAGCTCTCATCGTATTGGTGATTCTAAGTAAAGAAACTTTCCGCCAGACGCTGAAACGTCGGCTCGTCCGCGACCGGCGCCTCTGAATGATCGTGCGCACATGAAGGCTCGGCCCTGAAGAGCATCAAACTTTGGAACAGCCAGAAAACCCAAAACCCAAGAAGGGGACTCAAAACATTCTCAAAGGGAAGGGAGCCACTTCCACTCACCACCCAGGCCAGGCGTGACGCCATGTTCGAGAAAGCCTCCGACTGCCGGACGCCCAGCTTTCGAAGCAGGGCGAACGTTTGGACGGTCCCAATCGCGCCCAGCAGGTTTCCTTGAACCACGTATGGTGTGGCCAGGGGTGCCCAGGCGGGTAAACCAGCAGCACCGACTCCCGAAACGCTAGCGAAAATGCCTAGGAGCAAGGCTGGAGCGGCTGCCCCGAGGGAGATCCCGACGGTGGTCGCGAGGCTGTCGGTCGCGATGAGACTCCCCAGCACGCCACCTGGAGAAGTAGCGAGAGGAAGGCACGATTGAGGCTCTTGATCGGGAGATGCGTTCGAGTCGAAAGGGAAGTCAGGAAGAGGTATAATGAGACCGACGGCTGCTTTGTAAAGTGAAAGTTTGACGAAGTTTCTAGAAAACGCAACAGGCGCGCAGAAAGAATTGAGGGTAGAATTCAGCCGCGCTTGTGCGTCTTGGAGAGGCAAAGGACAATTGAACACAACAGCGAACAAAAGACGGGAGAGCCTGACTTCTCAATGACTTCCACATGAAGTCAAGGGCACTGCGCGGCATGGAAGAGCCCTTCATCGGCAGGATAGGCCTTCACGTTGTCACGTGACTCAATTCGACAAATCGGACACATTGATAATCCTGGAGTCACGCGCAACGACGGGAATGTCGAGATGGCGCCTGAAAAGATTGGGAACTAATATCCTCTGCTGAAAATTTCAGAATGCGAATCTTTCTTTTCTCAAATCTGGGTTCATGACGACAAAGTAAAAGGAACGGACCGGGCTGTCAGTTCGCAGAAAAGTTCGTGAAACGCTCACCAAAGTCGACCGGCAGAACCTTCGAATCCACGTTTGGGTTACCTGCCAGGTCCACTACCGCACCGCCGGAGATCCAGACCATTCCCTGCCGGACACTCCCCTCTTGCGCTACCGTTGCTAGGTAGCTGCGCCCATCACTCAGCGCTACGAGATCACTCACGCTGCAACTGCTGGTGCTTAGCTGCGATGCTCCGAAGTCTGCGCGCTCTAGTTCTGCGGCGTTTGAGCCGTTCAATGGAACTAAGACCCGCTCGCTAAACTGTACACGTATTTTGATGGAGGTGGCCGAGGAGCTGCTGACGCTGAGCGCGACCGTCGGTTCTGAGGTGTCGAAGAGCACGGACACCGCGTCCGAGGCCTCGTTCGGACTGCCAATTGCGTCCGTACAGCTGTCCGCTAGAATCTGGACGGTGACCCGCTCGTTGGCGAGCGGCCAGACTTCGAACGTGTACGCTCTGCTGAAACTTCGCGCCACCGTCGCGTTTGCGCCTATACTGACTAAACTCTCCTGGCCTACCACGTTTGACGAAGAGCCCGGGCTAACCGCTGAGTGCCCGGTTGAGGAGCTTTTCAGCCTCCTTATCTGGCCGCCGTTTGCCGATATCCCATTCACATCAAAACCACTGACCGCTTCAGTGAACTCCACGGAGAACGGGATCGGTGCCAAGTTCGTAGCCCACAGAGGCGTACTAACTCCGTTGACACTAACTCTTACTGGGACAATCGTGGTCGAGAGGACCGGTTGAGGCGGATTCGCTTGGAAGTTCACGGAGAAAGTTGCTGGTGCGTTGGGGTTCCACGCAGCATCTTGGCACACCCCGGTCGGAATGCTTATGGTTAATGGTCCATCTCTTATTACATCAATGAGAACCGTGTACTGCCGCTCCCCCAGAGAGCGCCACGTATTTGGTGCTGGAAGCGCCGTCCCGACCACGGCGACTTCGCATGACGTCACACTGTCGCACGTGAACTCGAGGCAAGCCTCGCTGAAGGTTACGAGGACGGGAACCGGGTTCTCACGGACGGGCGACGCCGGGAGGGTGACGTCAGGCACGGGGGGTGTGAAGTCAGCGACCCAGGAATGGGTGTAGCTTGCCGAGACGGCGAGCGCGTTGCTGAAAGAGACCGTGGCGGTATGCAGGCCGGCGGGCAGATCGGTGAAGGAAAGGCTTGCAAAGCTGACGTCATCATCGCTGCATAGAAAGGGCTCCCCGCCGTCGATGACGCAGTAGGCCGTGCAGTTTTGGCACCCGGCAGAATCGGCGGTGCTGCGCGCGTCAAAGTGAACGGTTCCGTTCCGCGCGTTGCTCGGGTTGGAGGGGCCGCTCACGAGCTGAATGACCGGCTTGCGGCGGTCGACAACCCAACCGTACACGGCCGGAATAAGCGCTACGTTGCCTGCCACGTCAGCAGCAACCGCACGGAACACGTGGGCTGTGATGAAGTCATCGGACCCCAGGTTGGACAGAACGACCGGGTTTTGACAGGGCTGGAAAGGGGCCCCATCCAGAGAGCACCGGTAGCTGCATTCGGCGCAGGCCGTGGGCGTTCCGTTGGGCAGCGTGTCCGTGGCGGAAAGAGCGAACTGGGCGGACGGATGGCCCGTCAACGGAGCAGGGCCGGAGAGAATTGCGACCGTTGGAGGTACTGTGTCGACGAACCACCTGCAGAAGAAAGCATTCGAAGGTCTGAGTGCATTGCAACAATCCGGTTGTGCTTGAGACAGGTCCACTGTTCAAATCTTTTCACAAGCGCAGTAGGTTTCACGGGTCGAGGCGGGAAAGAATGATGCCAAAAAGCAGAGAGTAATACCATCTTCTGGGCGCAACAGAAAGCCAGCCGCAGGTTTGCACCTTGCCTTTCTCTTCAGCTGTTGTGCGCCCGAAGTCATTCTCTGCTGACGTAACCGTTGTCGGGGATGAACGGCATTCGCACTTGATAATGCAGCTTCAACCTTAAATCCCTGTCTTTCAATTCGAGAAGCAAAACAGTCAAGAGCCTGCTCCACAGAAGTGCAGGTTCCGCCAGCCTCTAATCTCTTAGTATACTAGAGAAGACTTTGACAAGAAGCAAGACTCCAAAAAGTTTAAATTGGGGAATGTAGCGCTTACTGGTACGGCCATGAGAGGCTTGAGGCGCCGCTGACGTCATTCACTTGGACGACGAGACTCTGCTGCCCTTGTTGCAGGTTGAGGAGCTTGAGAGGCGTGGCCGCGTCGCAATCCACAAAAGGGTTACCGTTAACCTGGCAACTGTACGTGCAGCCGGCACAAGGCAAGTTCCGCAGAGTGCCCAAGAACGTCACTACCGCTGACGTGCTGTTCGTCACCCCAAAGAGCGGCGGCCCGGATATGACGCTCCCGAGCGGCAGGCTGAAGTTGACCCGCCACGTGTAGGCCGTCGGCGCCCCCACGTTGCCAAAGACGTCTTCCGCGCGCACCGAGAATGTGTGAGCGCCTTCTGAGAGGCCGGTAGACGTGAAACCGGCACCCGGGTCGCATACCACGGCGGCGCCGGTATCGATGGAGCAGTAGAAGAGGCACCCGGGGCAGGGAACCGACTGGTTGGAAGTGAGAAACGGAGACGAGGCGTTTGCACCGAAGGCAAGCGCCGAGAACTTGAAGGTGGCGTTTGAGAGTGCGGTATCAGGGGGCGGCTTGTAGAAGATGCCCACGTCGGGGCCAACTAGAACGGCGGTCCAGTTGTAGATCAGGGTCGAGCTGAGGACGCCGTCGGGGTCGGTGGTGGTCAGGCGAAAGGAGTGCGCGCCGTTCGTGAGGTTTCTGGAAGCAAGAATGAACCGGGCTTCAGAAATTAGTAGCCTTTTTTCGCAGAGACAAGTGGAACGGTGTCGCATGTTAGCAAATCACTGTGTTTCAGCGCACGGCAAAATTGTCGGTTAGCCTGCGAAACAACACAGCTGATCAGGGCAAGACGCGGAGCGACTTCTGCAAATCAACAGATCCACTCGATGAAATCCATTCGAGAACCTGATCCGCCTGAAGCTTTCTTCGACAGCAGTTACTGCCATCTCGTTCGCATTTGAACAAAGTGAGCCGTCAGAAGGTCGGCACTCGGCATCTACAGGCTTGCAAGACCTCCGTCAAGCAGAAGAACTTGCACTAGTACCTGTACGTAGCTCCAGCTGTGTTTCCGCTGCCCGGGAGACACGACCGGGCTGATTGCTGGTCGAGCTGGCACCGGAACGTGCACCCGGCGCACCGGGCTTGGGCCCCGGCGATGCTGCCCACGAAGAAGAAGCTCGCCGAGTTCGACGGAGTCAGGACCGGGGGCTGTCCGGTCAGACGGCCTTCCGGGGGGGTCAATTCAATCTGCAAAAGGGGCAGGGGCGTACAGTGTTGGACGCGCTGTGCGTTTGCAGGAGACAAGGGAAACGGTTTTGATCGTCGTTTGCCTCAGCGTTAAAGAACAAGGGGTTCATAAGCAGTTTAAGGCATGTTGTGGTATCGGACGAGAGGATTAAAGATGGCCTGTTCTTGTGAGTCTGTTGCGCAGACTGCACGGATGAAACGGCTACCTCGGAAACAAAGCAAAGACACGTCAGTGGTGCATTTCGACCGGTCACGCGCAGTATAGCTGAAGCACCCTCTTCAAGGGCGGGGAAGCGGTGGTCGTCAACCACTATCTTGATCATTCCTGAAGTTTCTGGAGTCCTGTGTATGGAGCGAACGCGTCGCAAACGTGTACTAACAGTTTTCGAGAACCAGAACATTTCGGTTTAGCCTTGGCTTACCACGAAGTTCAACCGAACTGGCGGCGACTCCTCGTTTCCAGCCACGTCGATGCTCGTCACAGCAAAGGTATGCTGACCAGCTCCCAGGAAGAAAGCGATCGGCTTGGATTGCGGACACAGGAAGAGAGGTCCTTGGTCTATGGCGCACTGGGACTGGCAAGCCGGGCAAAGAACCGCTGAAGTCCCGTCGGATGCCGTGTCTACCACGTTCAGACTGAAGGCTACGTTCTGAATGCTGGTCGGCCGGTTGCTGGGAACGTTGGCGGTTATGTAAGTAACCGGGGGCGTCCAGTCGATAACCCAATCGTAACTGTTGAAGGCGCTAAGTTTCCCTACCGTACCGGACGCCCTGACTTGAAAGCTGTGCGCTCCCTCAATCAGAGCGGATACCGAGACCGTGTAAACTAGCTGCTGGAGAGCGGGATCTAGAGTGGGGGGCCCGGTGAAGGTGCACGGTTGGAGCGGGGCTGAGTCGAGAGCGCAGTAGAAGATGCAGTTGGGGCATGCTTTCTGGGGGCCCTCCGTCGCGTAGAAAGAGAGCTGCGCAGATTGGCTGCTGGTCGGCGATAAGGGCCCCAACAGAAAGTGGACCACCGGTGAGTCAACTTCCAGGGGCGGGGGCGGGGCGGAAAAGGTGGGAGGCGGTGGCTTAGGTCCTAGCGGGATGGGGGCAGGAGTAACGGAGCTGGAAGGAGGGGGGCTCAGAGGCGCCTGGATTGTGATGGTGTACAGTGTGACGTTGGTCAGGCTCTCTGACGTAACCATAACCTTGAGGAGAGAGGCACCGCGAGGGATCGGAACGGACTGGCTGATCTGGCTCTTTTTCGCCGTGCCTGAGTTGGCCGATATGGATGCTCCGGAGTCAGTGCTGACCGCCAGCAGCGTTCCGATCCCGACAACGGATGTGACGGTGACTGTGTAGTTGAGGATGGCCGGGGAGAATGGTGGGGACAGGGGTCCGGCGCTCAGATAGAGGAGCTGGAGTGAGGCGTCTAGGCCTTGCAGAAGCTCCAAGCGGAAGTAGTAGACTTGATTCGTCACGTTGTCTGACGCCTGCAATAAGAAAAACAGTCTCGCTAAGACATTGTGCACAGCAACTGGATGAGCGCCTAGAATATTGGATCAGTCAAGAAGGTTTGAGAGGGACGTCATGTTCACGGAAGATGCGAAAGACAACATTGGGCCAACTGACTCTTCTTCCAATTGCAAGTATTCGTCAGAATAAATACTTATACAAGGGACCGCTTGAGAGCCATGACCCCACATTTCTTTCATGGTCCTATTCGGTGCTCGAACTCTGTCGGTCTATTCGACTCTCTCCGGTCGGTTCCTAGACATGAGTCTTGCATACGCACAATTTTCATCTACTGAATGAGTGAGAGCAAGAGCTATCACTTGAGCTGGTGTCCACGTAAACTCACCGTAACAGACAAAGTCAACACCCCAGATCTCACGACGGCCATTTCGCCCGATAGCACCCCGCTCGTGATCGGCATGGTCTCACCGGAGGGCAGGAACGCCGTGATCGACGACCCCGGGTCAGCGGCAGTGGCGAGGACTGACATTGTCGAAACGGTTTTTACCACAAAGATCGTGTAGAGTGTGCCTGCAAGAAAGGACTCTCGTTCAATTCACCAGATTGGATTTAATTTGCCTTGATTCACCTGCTCAAGGTTTAGAGAACAAGAGACTTAAGAGATCACCTAACCTACGAGCTGTAAAGCTGTTTTGAGTTGTTGCCTAGGGAATGAGAGTTGACCGAGTACCGGCCTTACGATGGGGCCTTCGCATCACATGTCATGCTGAAAACCAGTCCTACCGACTCAAAGTCAGGATGGGTGCGAAACTTGTAGTCTTCGCAACGCTCTAGGTACATACCTGTTGACTTGAAGACCGGAAAAGTCACCCCTCCCATGGCGGTAAAGCTGACGAGCGCGGCGTCTGGCGGACCCGCAGGGGGGGGTGGCTCTGGGGGTGGCGATAGGGGCGGCACTTGAGTTGGGGGGGGAAGCTAGGGGGAGACAGAGAGGGAGGTGGAGGAGGGGGCACCTGTGGTGGCGGGTTGGGGGGCGGCCAAAGCTGGGGAGGAGGGGGAAGAGGAGGAGGGAAAGCGCTTGGCCGTGGTGAGTTAGGAGGTGGGGGAGAAGAAGCTGGAGGCGGAAGGGTTGGTGGAGGCGGATTTGGAGGCGGGGGGGCAACCGGAGGTGGCAACATTGGTGGCGGGAAGGGGTCAGGAGGAGGGGACATTGGTGGTGGAAAAGAGGTCGGAGGGGGAAGACGTGGAGGTGGGGGACTTTCCGGAGGTGGAGCATTCGATGGCGGAGGCGAATCGGGAGGGGGCAGGCTTGGGGGTGGGGCCGCGTCCGGGGGTGGCGGAGAATAAGTCAGGGGGTGGTGGCGGCTGCATTTCGGGAGGGGGGGAGCGTGGGAGGAGGGGGAGAAGTCGAGGGGGTGGCGGCGGAGGCGAAGGTCCGGAGGTGGCGGGGAACGTTCGAGGGGTGGTGGGCGGCGTGGACGAGTTCGGGGAGGGGGGGAGGCGGTGGGAGGGAGGGG